TTCACAACAGCAGTGTGTAGCACAGCGCTGGTCTCAGGGACTGATGCACACACTTACGCTAATATCGTCTTGTCAGTGAAGGAGCATACACACTCCTCTTGTGTTTATGTGCTATACCACGGAGAACAAGGTAAGTTATTTTGTACGTTGCTTAACCAACCTCATGAACTCCGTGGGGCAGAGTGCACTTTCACAATCTACTGTAGTTGCCTCTCAGCTGACAAAGAAATTCCTTCTCTTCGAATAACCTACAAGTTCATTACTGTGTACATTGATTGATTGATCAGTAACTGTCAGATGACAGGTCCACAGTCTCTTCCAAAACAGTTCCTCCACTTAATGTGATCTTCTGTTTTTGGAAAGAGACTATCCAGGAAAAGTGATAATGTGGTAGTTTTTCCATTTGCTTTCCACATCGCAGTACAACAGCCGTTCAAACCACTCTGGTCACGCCTGTTGCTATACGAACTTGAACCATCTCGAGCATCATTTGTTCTGTGCTTCAAGTCGCTGCTGATGACGCTGCTTCCGGCATCAGTTTTTGGTTTTTGGTGTCTCTCTTCGTCTGATGCCTACCCTTTGACCTGTCCAGCAAGGGAGGCCCTGCCAGTAGCTACGCTACCGCTGGTATAGCTCTCAGGGTCCTTGGCATACTCAAACCCCCTCACCACGATAAGGTGGAGACACCAACGAGGGGATGTGTACATTAGAGCCCGCTAATAGTATCTGGTTGTGTACAGGTAGAGGCTTTTCGACGAGCTGATCACCCGCCCAAGGAGTCCTACCAAATGTGTAAGATCTAGAAAAACCGAAGTGAACGGAGAAGTTCATGGAGGTAGGCCTAGGCCCACTGGGGCTGTAGTGCCAAGGAAAAAAAAAGTCTCTGCAGTAAGCCAAATAAATGCGCCAGACAAGATTTTAAATCCTAGATATTTAATATCGATTTTCATATTATCCCTTCCTATACCCATAAGTTACTGGAGTGTCTCCTTTCATAGGACTTTCTGACATAAATCCTGCATGCGTTGCTCATCTATACCGTGTTAAATGGAACTACTGCCATCACGAAACTGGCTGTCCTCAGACCGAGGTTTCCAGTTAAGGAGGGTAGTTACGGAAATATTGGATAAGCGATCCAGTACAACCGAAAAAGTTTGGTCCTCTAGTTTACAGATTCAACAGGGACTAACAGTTATATGAATATTACACAGAACATCGGACTTATATTTTTGGAACAGCTGAAAAGCTTGGAGATGAGACTTGAAATGTGTGAAGTTAGAACGATCAGGTTAACCGAAAAAAAAAGCTCTATACAGATGCATATTACAGAAACTTTATATCTCTGTAATAAATGCTTTTAGTAGTGAATTCGGAGTCAGTTTACTCGGCTGGTTCTTCAAACGAAGCCTAACCGTTTTTGGTATTCTCCATGGGCCTCATGGAACGTAATTCTGGAAGGCAGGGTTTGGCCAGCAGGTTTGCTACTGATTCATGCTGATGATGATGATTACGATGATGATGATGTGGAATTCTTAAAGTGTTTAACTTTATACAAGCACAGGATTTCATTTTGAATCAGCAGCAAGGTAAACCAAATGGTAGCAATGTAAACAAGATGCAAAAGCAAAACAAAATAATAAATTTAGTTACAGCAAGAGTTTTCAAAATTACAGGAAGACTCCAGGAACAATTCAGATCTTGGAAGTCATACCCTTAGAAAAATGGAGCCTCAGATCTCCCCTGGGTCAACTGTATATAATCCTGGTTATGAAATAGAGTCAATTCTGAACAAGTCACGTTGCAAATAGTTACATACGAAAAATGGCCGCGCCATAGCTCAAGCGGCTAGTCGATGGCTTCCCACCGCGGCGGACAGGGTTCGATCCCGGGTCTGGTCAAGTGGGATTTGTGGTAGACAAAGTGGCGCTGGGGCACGTTTTCTCCGAGTACTTAGGTTTCCCCTGTCAATCTTGATTCCACCAATTGCTCCATAATCACCCTCACCTATCATCTGGGGCTGGTACAAGAGCCCAGAGTGGCCGCAGTACAAGGAAATTAGTCCCACCCCACTAGCAATAAAACAAATACATACGAAAAGTTATGTCTGGCTTCTGAGAATAGAGATCAGTCCTCTACTTCAGAAACAGGCATAAAGTCTACAAAGTAAGTCCGAAAATATTTGTATATTTTATAAGTACTTGGTCTGACAATAAAGTTCGTGAACTCGCCACCGTGTATTTGCCGTGGAAGCAGTGGACAGAAACCTCAGTATGGTCTGATGAATTTGGTATATCAGTGTTTCACAGGTGTGTTGTTGTTGAACTATGGCAGTCTCTTTCTGGTTGGCGTCTATTATTGCCTGAGTGTGTTTTGGTGCGCCGTCGCGAGAATTTCGGAACAAACGTTAAATTTCTTGTTGAACTTGGCAAGAGTGGAAGAGATCACAGAAAGTTTACGTGGGTAATGCTATGAAGAAAACAGCATTTTACGTGTGAGTACACATTTTTCTGAGGGAAGAGGAAGTGTCAATAACGAAGAAAGGTCACGACGGCGAGCAACGAGCAGAACTGAAGAAAACATTCCAAGAGTTCGTCAAATTGTGGCGAAAATCTTCGGCTGACTGTCAGAAGCATGGCAGAGCAAGCAAACATCAACAGAGAAACATTTAGTAAAATCTTAATTAAGATCTTAACATGAAGAAGGTGAGTGAAGGAAAGGTTCCAAAAGACCTGCTCATACGGCACTGTCCGTGAGGGAGTGTTAGCTAGTAAACAAATAGCTGTATTGTAACTCCCTCCCTATTCATTGGATCTAGCCCCCAATGACCTTTTCTGTTCCTGAAGATAAAGGAAACATTGAAAGGAAGACACTGAAGACATCAGCAGTAATATGACGGCAGCTCTGAAGACCATTCCATAAAACAAGTTCCAAAAATGTCTTCAAGAGTGGACTAGACGCTGGCGTCAGTGCATAGCTTCCCAATAGGAGTCCTTTGAAGGCGACCACAGTGACACACAGCAATGACGTATGTAGCACTTTTACCGCGATGAGTTCGCGAACTTTGTTGTTAGACCACATTAAACTATCAATACATTAATAAAGAGACAGATTAAGTTACAAACTGAAATTTCATTGTTCGTGATTAAGTAAAGTATCTTAAAAGTCATCCAGTTAGAGGATTCACATTTGTTCCATATTATTATGTGGGTATACTTGCGCCTTGTATAAAAGCAGCTAAGGATTCTGCCTGCTGGTCTGTGTCTGTTTTAGGCTTAACTTGACAGAGTACACTTGACGTTTGTAAAGAACACTTTTATTAAAATTACTTTTAATTCTACTAGGAATAGAGCAGGTTGCTATGTTGCTATCATTCCTGTCCAAGAACGAAATTCCGACAGCTGGAGTACCCATAAGAAATATACGAAAAGTTACTGAAACCAATAAATGCAGCCTGCCTCTCTACGTTATTCCCTCTGGAAATACAGAAATCAGATCCTTCTTGATGCAGGTAAGATACTGGACAATATTGTGGCATGTATTATCGTTTGACTGTGAGCTGTAACCGCCTGTGTTTAGTGCAGACATATTGCTTGTCCTATTGGGTGCAATTTTCAGTACATTTACAGTTGAATATACACCATATCAATATTAAGACTGCTAGTTTAGAATCCATTTATTCCAGTATTTATTGGCCAGGTATATATTCGTCCGAAAATCGTCAACAAAAACTGGAATAGAGACGTGCCTATCTTGTATTTTCCTCTATTATTCATATTCATTCACTTTTCCAGCTTTGAATTTATTTCATTTTAAGTGCTCTAGGCACACCAAGGGGCTATTACGCTATTGTACGCACGAATAAACTCTAGAAAAGCAGAAGAGATTTTAACGAAATTTTTTATTGGAGAGTTTTACTAATATCGTTGATAAATTCCAATTCTTGTTCAAATTTAACAGAACGAACAGGGGTTTTACAAGAAGAGCTGCATGCGTTTGTGAGCACATACCGTATTGAGCACGATTCACTAAGAATTTATCAGTAAAAAATATCTCGAAAAATGTTGTTAGGAAAAATATATAAACTAATTTTATGCCTATTTCACAGTCTTCCTTAAGTGTTGCAGTTTCCGAGACAATGAAATAGGAACTGTTCCGTTATACGTATATTTCATAATTTATATATCCAGCGAACAACAGGGGTCTTCCAAACACACGAGAATTTTAAGAAAGAATTAGGAGTGGTTTCTGGAACTTACATAAAGACTACAGAAATTTATTATCACCGATAAAAACTGCACGAAGCTACTTTCCACCTGAATTTATTGCTCTGCACTTATATAAATATATCAGTTATTTAACTTGGTCACTTCAGGACGATGCCAGTGTCGAGACAATACAGCCTCGATGGTAGGATGATTAATGAATATGAAGCGGTTGTTGCAATGAGAATTGGCAGGGGAAACCGAAATAATCGGAGAAAATCTACCAAAATTTCATTTCATCCACCACAAATCCCATATGGTTTGATCTGGGATTGAACCTCGGCCTCCTTTTTAGGAATCCGACGACTAACCTCCTGAGCTATGAAACAGTCACTTACTTAAGACAGAAATTTACATACAAGCTAACATGAATAAATACTAGAAAGTATCAGAGCTTACCGCAGTAAGTTATTAACATGAATAGTAGCATGTAATTTATAATACCTTCTACTTTGCGCATGCGTCAGATGACCTTATTTTAATCATATGAATGTTTATTGCGTATAACCAATCTGTTTGGACAAAGTGAAGAAAATAGGGCTTGAAATATTATCAACGTAATATCTTAATGGTTTTACACACTTCCTAACTATAAAACACGTCCTCTTGTTTAGCTTGTAGATTCCATATTCTGAAATTCATAACAAATTTAAAATATCTTTATTGTTGAATTTCATTTGTTTCAATTATAGCTTTCAGAGAAAGAGAATATGTCAGAAGCAAGATGGTTGCTGCTGCTGTACCATACAAATTATACATTGGACGATTTATTCGTTGATATTTACATTCCATTTCATTGCGAATTCTTGGTGGTACACAAAGAAGACGGCCAGAATTTTGTCTTCACAGAAGTGTATCGCGTAGACCGCTCCCTGCCTCTACGAACACACCAGTTCGCCAACCTCTCGTATCTTGCACGTGGACTTATTAAACGAAGACCAGATCTACAGGGTTTAGTTCTCAGATCTGCCGTAATAAACGCGGTAAGTTGGGGAACAAGCTTTGAACGTACTGAATGAAATTGCTGCATGTATAGCCTATGACTACTTCTGTTTCTTGCTAGGGATTCTACGCAAACTTTAAGAAGAAATTTGGAGACGAAGTTGTAGAAATCGGCGGATATTTTGGAGAAGTCTGGAACATCCTGCAGGAAGTACTCAACTTCACGTAAGCAATACTTCAGTCTACTTTCCATCCTTAAAGACAACTCAGAGGATCTATGAAATTTTATCTGAAAGATTTCGTGTTGACTGGAACTGTAGTTACGCAAATAATTCTTGCCAAGAACGCAACATATATTCAATTCAAATCAATGCTTTATCTATTTACGTACTCACTCAACAATCCAAATGCAATTATAAAGTAAGTACGAGGAAATAAGGAAACAGACGTACACAGACAAAGGAAAGCTAGGTAACTTATGTAATATAAGCAATAATATTTACATTAATATAATAACGCCAAATATTATATGGTTAAAAAATATATATACATATGTTTAAGGTCTTTCATTCTGGTCCGTCACACTAACAAATTAACAATCAAGTTCCTTCCGTCAAATGTGACACTTTTTTAAGTTTTCCACCTCGTCACCACCTGCCTTACATGTTTCGGCTCACCACGGAGCCATCATCAGAGGCATTTATAGTAGAAAAAGAAATCACCAACACACAAAACTTCACTTTGTTAAAAATAGCCACGTTCCAGTTAATTAAAATAATTACAATAGTTAAAATTGCCGAGAGTGTCGGTTCACTAAAGGTTTTCCACACACCACGGTAGCTTTCTTATTTAATTCGTCG